CTCCTGGTGCTGATAAAGGATCCCGTTTGTCCTTGGCCGATCTCAAAGTCTGTTGGATTGTTCGAGTTGGTTTAAAAACTGTTTTGACTTTGTGTCTCCAATATCCTGCCGATCCTGTCCGTGACTCCATGTATCTACGGGAGGCAAGCCCAACTCTTACGCTCATCATGCGCATCTGTTTTCTCCGGACGATCTCCACTGTTTCTTGGTCGAATTGCTCTATTGACCTCGTTCTTGTTGTATCCATTCCAACCAAAGGCCCTTTCTAGGTGTTTCAATTCTCTTTCTAACTCAGCAGGTTCGCAAATTCTTCTGGCTCTTTCGGTGAAGGTTTTAATGACTCCTCTCTTTTGACTGGGATGATGGTTTGATCCACTGTGCAGGTACCGGTCGTATGTGTCGGTTTTCTGTACACCGTGTGGGACAGCCTTCCGTTGGTTTTTCCGGTGGACCAGGGCTTCAAAGCCCAGAAAACATTTCTAAATGTGATTTGACCGGCCGTGAAAGCCTTCATAGCCTGATGTTTTGATATATTTGAAATTTTATGTAAACAATTCCAGTTGCAGCCACTTAAGAACTTACTTTAAAGGAATTTCGAAATAAACAAAATTTTTATAACTATCAATACAAAGTGTTTAAAAAGTAAGTTTCAAAATGACGATGAGAAAATCGCCCTAAATCAATTTTTTCAAATGGAAACCCCCATTTTTTATAATTTTATCTTATTTAGTATTAAAAATAAGAGTACGTTTGTGTAAAGTTGTCTATTCCAAAATTGTTTAGTTTTCGAAATATTGTCAATTTAATGTTTTAATATTGCTGTTTCCTTCATCTCATTTTAAATCCTGCCATGACGAAAGTGACCATTTTTAATTCAATCAAATGCCAAAAGAATGCTGACAACTGTCAGTTACCTTTGGAAATAATTAATAATCATGCCCGGACGTTTAAATTATACAAACGAAGATTATTTAAACTTCTTTAATAGTTATGAAGAATTCGATAAAGTTATATGAAGAACCGTTTATTATTATAATTGTATTATTAATTATTATTATCTCAAGAACAAAAACCAGTTTTTTTTTCAAATCTTGGGGTCTAATTTTTATGGTTGCACTTATAAATTGAACATGCACTGTTGTTTCGTATTCGAAATTCCTGAAATTTTCTATAATTTGTTTAACAGCACAGCACGAAGGCTGTTTTTTTGTATTATTTAAGCGTTTGGTCATGATTATTAATTTTCAAAGGGTAACTGACAGCTGTCAGCATTCCTTTGGCATTTGATTGTAATAAAAATGGCAACTAAGAGTGACAGAATGTAAAGTAAGATAGGCCGCAAAATAACCTTATAAAAACATTAAAATTTTGAAACTAAACATTTTTGGAATAACCAACCTTACACTTATTTTTAATTCTGAATAAGACAAAATTATCAAAAATGGGGGCTGCCATTCGAAAAAATTGATTTTGGTCGATTTTCTCAACTGTATTTTGAAACTTATTTTTTTAACATTTTGTTAACAGTTTTCAAAATATTGTCAAAATTCCATTAAAGTAAGTCCTAAAGTAAATATATTTAGAATTTGGAGTCGAATTTAAAAATGTAATAATATATAGGGTGTTTCATTTAAAGTAAGCAAGTTGATACTTACTTCCGGTATAACCGGAAGTGTGGCCATCTTGAAAATATTTTAGATCGCTTGACCCCAATGACTTCGACACACTGTTCAAATTTCTGCTAATTATAGTTTGTCAGATATCGATCGCGGCGGTTCCCGGTGGGACACCCTGTATTTACTAAACTTTCTACGGTTTAGTTAATTCGATTATATGATTTGGCGTAAGCCTCAAGTTAACAGTTTTACACAATAATTATACATACCTCACTCTGCTTAAATGTTAACAGTTTCTTGTAGACCAACAAAAACTTGTTAAATACTGTTTTGTACACTTCCATATATTCACCCTCTAGGTAATTCGCTTCGAATGGTAGAACTGGTTTCAAAAGAAAACTTCTTATCGCAGTAGTTGCTGATTCTTCGAACAGGATACAGCACCAGAAATGGTGATAATCACAAGTCAGCAAATAATCAAGCGAATCAATAAATAAAGTATTTTCAGCTAAAAAGGCTGTGTTTTCACCATCCTGCTGCGGTATGCAAACTGGTGCAAATTTGTGGAAAGACAGTTTTAGCAACCATCTCTTGTCCAACGCAGGAATAATTTCTTTTTTTAGTTCGAAGCACGATTGTTCTAGATCTTTTTCCGACCTGTCTTCCCAGTCCTGAAAGTTGACCAATATGTTGTAATGTAGAAGCAATTAAGTAACATAACTTACAAAGCCGGTGGAAAGGTTTCTCTTCAACTCTCGCCAAGAGCGTTCCATATGTATTTCATTTATGGGTAACTTAGAGGGGTTCTGCAAGAATTATTCAATTTAAATAGCAGCTAACGGCATTAAATCACTGAACTCTTGAGTAGTACCTTAAACACATTCTCATTTGGTAAATTATCGGCTATTGTTAGCCGCGCCAAGGAATTGTCAATGCTCATAATACAGATATATTTATATGTAGACTTATTCAAAAAGTTTTTAAATTCGAGTATAAAATCTGGGTGAATTACCAAAACTGCCCTAACCTAAAAAGTAATCGAAGCAACAGGCATAGATCAGTGTTGCCAATACAATAATGTTGTTTTTCTGACCCAGGAGCAGTTTCAGATAAACTCGGAACGTACCTAATAATATTTGTTTTATTTCTGACAGTAAAAATCCCACTCAAATAGTAGTGACGAATGGAAAAGGACGGTGTCAACATCAACAAATAATACTGAATTTAAAGTTAAAAAATGGGTAATGTAGATACAAAATTGAATTTTCGCCGAGCCGTAGTGCAGTTAACTTCGAAGGCAGAGGTACTGCTTCTATCACTGTGTATTTTAAAAAATCATTTACTTTCATACGAAAGCAATTCATTCCAACATATGCACAAGAAGTATCCTGATAATAAGTATGGATTATTTTCGGATATGTGGCAAAGTTTTACTTACATTTGGGCTTCTTATTAATAGTGGTATTTAAGTGATCTTCGTCTCGTTTTAGCCAATTGATCCAAATGATGACACATTCTGGGAACAGTTTTGGTCAGAAAATGTTTCCAACGTCCAAGACATTTTCACTCTTGTTCCTGCAACAGAGATTAGACAGTTACGAGAGGATGCCCCTGAAAATCTGGCCACCTTATGTTATAAAGCTGTTGAGAAACTCGTCAAGGCAGTTGATAACAGCTGCAGAACACATAGGGAACAACAAACAGGTTGTTTCTCCCCCATATTTAAATACCCAATCAATATTGTGTGTTTTAAGTCCTCAACTGCACCAGAATATTGACCAGGATTTTACCGTACATGTTTGAAGACTCAGAATGGAAAGGGTTTTTTTGGTCATCACTGCCAAGCAAAAATGAGGAAGATGAACAGGAAGCAGTGCCTCTGGCACAATCCCTGCTTAATGCAATATGTGTAAATTATTATAAAGAACTAGTTGATGCAATGGCATTATTTCTGAATGTTGTAGGATCTGCTGTTTTGTCCCGATTTCACTGTAGCTGCTGGGCGTAAAACTGGACCAGTAAGTATATCAGAAAGTGCATACAATCAATGTCTATGTGAGAAAATCATTGAAAAAATATTTTTTTGCGCAGGATAAAGCGGAAGATTTATCATTGATAGACAGTTGCGAATATATTTGGGAAGCTGGTGTTGGTTTCGCCCACTCGCCTCCTCGAAATCACATCTATGATTCGAATAGAACGGAATTGCTGAAACTGCTATTGACCTGTTTTAGCGAAACTATGTATCAACCACCCACAGATATTGCGTCAAACCCGAATAAGTGGATAATGTAAGTATGATAATAACTATTTTCGTTCAGGGACGATATCAAATCAATGCGTGTGAGAGAAAATTTTAATAAATACTGTTTATCGGAAGTGTTCATTATCGGTTATTCACTTATCAAGTTAAGTGCATCTGCCCAAAAGTTGTTTTCGGCAGATATGTTTATTAGCATTGTTCAGCTATCTTACACCAATTAAACAGACTCATTTGGACAGTGGGCTAAAGTAGAATTCGAGTTCGAGGAAGTTCGAGTTATAAAACTTTATAATAAAGTAACTTTTTTTGTATTCTTGTACATTGTTTGTAAATGTTTTCTTTTCAAATATTAAAATGCTGTGCCATAGACAATAAATATGCATTATTGAAGGTAACCATAACGCGTTTTCATTCTTCGTCTAAAGAATGAAAAATTCATCTATCACTGCAGTTTCGAACTGAATAATTCTGCATTTTAACTCTATTCGAAAAAGCAGTGAAAGAGTCGGATTGTCTATTTTTTCGTTCTAATATAAAAAGGCGTTATGGTTGCCTTTAATATAATATGTATTTACTTTCTAATGTATATTACTTTTTATATTTGAAAAACATTTTTGTAATTATTCAAAATAGTCGTTTTTCTTCAGGCATTTAACATCTGCTGAAAATCGGCATGCATTACCGATGTTCACTTCTCTTCTAAACACTGTGTGTGCATACGATCCAGTTGGTTTAGGAGTTCCGTACAATCACTTGCTGTTTAATGACTCTTTGGAGCCCTTAGTAGAAGCTGCGCTGCAAATTCTAATTGTAACTTTAGATCATGACACCAGTTCTTCGACTCCTGCCGAATCAGAAGATGTAAAAATCCTACCATGTTTGGTTGGTGTAATTTTGCTAATCCGTTCATTTATAGGCCACAATTCCAGACAATTTGTTTATAAACTATCTCTCGCGGATCCACCGAGATGAAGATTTTCATTTCATTTTATGTGGAGTGACAAGGTTATTGAATAATCCTTTAGTGCAAACGTACCTACCAAATTCTACTAAGAAAGTACATTTTCATCAGGAGCAGTTGGTGTTTTTCTGGAAAATGTGCGATTATAATAAGGTAATAACCGCAGGCTAACGAAGGATCAAGACAATAATGAGTGAATTAAATTTTAGAAATTCCTGTATTTTGTCTTGAAAAGTAGTGATGTATTAGACATTTTGGTACCGATTCTGTATCATCTTAACGACTCTAGAGCGGACCAATGTAAGTACATACCTCAAAAGAACCATATTTATTAATTTCAATTTTTTTATGTAAAAATCATTTTTCCATTAACTAAATCTATTCATAATTTTGCATCGTAATTTCAGCACGAGTTGGTTTAATGCATATTGGTGTGTTTATATTACTGCTCCTCTCGGGAGAACGAAACTTAGGTGTGCGATTGAATAAACCCTACACTGCTACAGTTCCTATGGATATTCCAGTATTTACAGGAACGCACGCCGATCTGCTTGTAATTGTTTTCCATAAAATAATCACCACTGGTCATCAAAGACTGCAACCTCTCTTTGATTGCTTATTAACGATTCTAGTCAATGGTACGCAGCTGGACAGTGTAGTTTAAAGTCAAACTTATTTATTTAGTCGTTTGTTTTCAGTATCTCCTTACTTAAAGACGCTCTCCATGGTGGCGAGCACTAAATTATTGCATCTTTTGGAGGCTTTTAGTACCCCCTGGTTCTTATTCTCGTCGCCACAAAATCACCATTTGGTATTTTTTCTACTGGAAATTTTCAACAATATCATCCAGTACCAGTTTGACGGAAATTCTAACTTAGTTTACACCATTATAAGAAAAAGACAAGTAAGCAGGTTAAACGATTACCAAACTGCATAAAGTGAACATAACATATTGTAGGTATTTCATAGTTTAGCCAACCTACCAAGCGACTATGGAACCATAGCTAAATCAATCAACAGGAAAACCAAATATGCGAAACTGCGTACTTCAATTAGCAGTGAAAATGTGTCGGAAATTGTCATGGAAGGCTCTCGCCCTGCTTTGCCTGCAGAACCAGGAACACTGAACGTAAGTTAAGAATGTTACGCAAACCTATCGAATAAATGAATAATAAATCAGTCTTAATATTTACCTTAAGGCTACTCTGCCAGATACACCCCAGATTGCGCAGATGACTGAACGAGAATCAGCTCATCCAGCCACATCCCCTTCAGAGCAGCCATTGACCAATGGAATGGCAGCTGTAACTTTAAATAGTTGCACTGCTACCGCTGTTTCAATAGGAAACGGTTCTGTTGAGGTATATTCTGATAAAAATGTTATCTAAACGCGTACCTTTTAAATCTAATTTAAAAAATTGCATTTTTTTCTTAATACATCATAGAACAAATCACCCGATGGCAAAAAAACAATGCCAGATATTCCAGATACGCCGACTAATTTTTCCAGATCTGTTAATACGGTGAGTTATTTCAAAATGTGTCTCTTTCTAGGAAATAAGTAACAACTTCGTTTTGATTTATCCAATTAAAAACATACTTTAAACAATTTAGAGAAACAGCTTGAGAGTATCTTCGTCAAATGAGCATCCTAGTGGTCAATGGATTCCTACAGGCGAATGGGTACATTCCTGGAAGAGTAAATTGCCCCTTCAAACCATCATGAGACTTTTACAGGTATTAGTGCCCCAGGTTGAAAAGATCTGCATCGATAAGTACGTTGAATTCGATTCTGGCAATTCGATAAATATTTAATCTATTGCTTTCTTTATATTTCTAGGGGACTAACTGATGAAAGTGAAATTTTAAAATTCCTCCAGCATGGAACTTTAGTAGGTCTGTTGCCGGTGCCCCATCCTATTCTGATTAGAAAATATCAAGCTAATTCTGGTACTACAACTTGGTTCAGGACTTACATGTGGGGTGTCATTTATCTCAGGTAATGTGAGATTTTATTGAGAACTATTTATAGATCTTGAAACAGTTATATAGTTTTATGTTTATCCAAACAATAGTTAATTTAGATATAGATAACATCGAGCATTAGCAAAACGAAAGTTATTTAGACAAAAACAAATTGGGCCAATAACCATAAATGGCAGCGGTAACCTGTCAATATAGGTGATAATACGAATAATTTGTATGTGGATCATAGTATTAACTTTTAGAGCCAATAACCTCTGCAGCGGTAACCTGATAATATAAATAATTTGTATAGGGATCAAAGTATTAACTTTTAACTAGTGTTGTTAATTTTTTTCAGAAACATGGATCCACCAATTTGGTACGACACCGACGTGAAACTCTTTGAAATTCAAAGAGTATAAATATCCCGGTCACATAATATGCTTTAATGCTTTAATAGTAAGACCTATCTTATTTTGCTAGTTTTAAAGTTTTAATGCTAAAATCCTAGTAAATTCCAGAAATATTTATTTATTACACTAGTGCAATTCTTTAAAATTTACTTTGTTTTTTTTTTGTCCAACAAGTATCTATTAAGCAAGATTTAACTAAACAGTACAAATTACTTCGGTAATTAAATACACCAAAAAAAATGTTTCCTGCTTTTACATGAAAGTAACCTCTGCATTTATTTAAATTAATTGCAGTTACTTTATCCAGAAGATGTTATATTACTTAAATTATCCAGTGCAAAACCTTAATATTATAGCGTATTTATTAAATGTGATTACTATTTAATGATTCAGGGTGTTATTGTATGTCTATGATAATTATACAATTCACACACCATCATGTCTCAAGACTGTTATATATCAACAAAACATGTGTAGATTAGTTACCAATCTAATACATAATTTAATTACGTCTCATTTAATTATTTCAAAAATATGGGAACCTTTGTCAACACACATTGTGGAACAAATCTATTGTCTTAACGGCAAGTTAGTTAATCAATAGTAGGCAATTCCTTTTTGACCAAATCCCACCTCTTGAACAATATTGCTAACTCACAATGATTCGTATGAGGAAATAAATCGACTGCTACTGCTTTAACAGGTACAAAACACTCTCCTTGTAAATATTTCGTCTCGCGACGCCCCAAATCTACGAAATTCTTCGATGCCATTTTTGGGTTGCATGAAATGTAGATTAGTCGGTTAATTTTTTTTATTTTTCGAAGCTGCTGAACGGCTTTTTGGTCTGTAATAAAGTAACCATGATAAAATTGTCAATGTTAATGGTCAAACAACATTTACAATGTTAAAATATGCATATTGAGGGAAAACCAAGGAGATATATAAACGTAAAAAAACAAATATTATGTACCGCTTTACAGGCGCTCGAGTTCTACGGCAAATAACACATTCAAATAAGCTTAATATCCTTGTTGTTAATTTGCAGCAACTTTCCATTATAATGCAAATGTTTTTAAAAAGCCAATAATCAGTATATATACTTACGTAATCCGGCTCTAGGGGGATCTACAACGGCAAACACATCTTCAAACTTTGAATTGTAACAAACGGAGCCCAAGATATCTTCAGCTTTCCCCACAAAAAAATCGCTATTTGTAATATTATTAATGATTGTATTTTCTTTGGCATCTACAATTGCTTGCGGAACAATTTCCAAGCCCAATATTTGACCACAATGCTGTAAAATAACCTTTGCTATAAATTCAGTTACAGTTTGTCTCCGCAAGTTGGAACTATATATATGAAGAACTTTTTTCTTATTCTATAACAAAAAAGTTCTGCATGGTCTAAAATCTAAAATGCAATGCAATGCAAATATTAATTTTTTTGCAGGCGTGTATGGCGAAGGTTTATTAAAAAATATGAATTTTGCCATATAGTAAAGAACTTTTATTTTTGACTGTATCGAAATTTTGTTATTCTAAAAAGTTAATCGAACTAAAAACCACATTTAAATATGCAATTTTCAACAAAGCCCATTTTTAACAAGGCAAATTTAACTGTGGGACATCAAATCTAGGATGCTTTGACATACAATAATAAATTATATTAATTAAATCAATTACTAATAAAATCATACATAATTAATTATGTAGAAAATTTGTAAAAAGCAACATTTTTATTATCGCAAATCGGTGTTGCATATTGAAACGTGGTTTTTATTCAAAACGTTTTGATTAACGACAGCCTAATTACAATTTTGTTATATTAAAAGCAAAATACAAAAAACATTTTACATACAGAATGGCTCATTTCTTAAGCGAACTGGGTGCGTTGAATGAAAAGTATTCTTAGTCTCTTGACAAATATTTGCCAGCTTCACCCAGCATTCATTTTCGAGCAAAAATATACTCCGATTTCCTCTAAACCAGCAAATATACTCTAAAGAAACATATGAAATATAACTAGTCTCATAACTAAAAGCCCATGTTCTTAGACTGCAAATTTACATTTTTTGAGTATATCGGATCTCGGAATGTATACCGTACCTTTGCGAAACTAAGCCCAATAGTTCCTGTGCCGCAACAAACATCGATCATAGTAGAGTTTTCGGTCGGTTCAGCCAATTCAATAGCTGACTGATATAAAACTTCAGCCGCTTTCGTATTCACTTGAAAGAAAGCTTCGGGAGATATTCGAAATTTTAAACCCATTATTGTTTCGAAGTTATGCGTTTCGCCCCATAGGAAAGTAGCTGGGATACGGGATTCGCCAGGACCTCTGCAACGAATTTGTTAAATGTTTAATTTAAGTAATATAAAGATGCGCTAGATTTTTAATCACCTTTTGACGATCTCCTCATAGTATAAAGATGTTACTTTAGCATCTTTGCCAGGGCCTTTGGAAAAAAATTCTATCAACTTCTCTTTGAATTCCGCAATTTTCTCGCTGGGTAGTTTTTGAGGATGTATACCCACAATAACCATTAGCTGTTCAGGAGCTGTTCGGACACTGAATTGTTTTAAATGACCAGTTTGAAATTCTGCGTTGAAAACTTCCAAGTCCGAGGAACGAACAAACTCTTCAAAAACCTGCACATTGATTTAAAAAAACATTAACTGGTTTTAAGTAGCGAAATCAATAATTCGTGATTTACCTTTACAGCTAATTTCATAGAGTCAGGTATGTGATCTAAATGTTCCACAGGGCCAATAGCAGTAGTGCCATTTACATATGCGCAAATTCTGAATCCTACTGTGGGTAATTGATTTTCTTGATTAATTCCGATTGTAAATTCACATTTATTGCGATAGCTACAAAAATCAGTATATAAAATTGGCTTTTGGATAAAATACTCTTTTACCCATTTATTTCATTGGAGAATCTAATATCCATTAATTCGCAAGGTAGTCCATTATATTTTTCCTGTTGTTTTTCAATGTAACTCTGAATTTCCAAATTAGCACTAGCAAGATCCTTACCTAAATTGCATAGAATAGATGCAATTTCTTCTTGTTTCAAACTTAACTAAACACATTGAACATTTTAGGTAAATTAAAACTATTTTTATAACAAACAAATTTAATAACCTACCTGTTTTTCATATTCAGTATCAACCAAGGGAATTGTAGACAATTTGATTTGATCATTCACTGGTAAATTATAATTTTTTTGTTTCTTCGACGCATTATTATCGTCAAATTCTTTTTTTCGTTTTTTGACCAATGGATCAGCACTTGGCTTAGCATACTGAAATATTTGAGCTTATGTTTAGTCAATCAATATGCTTTATTTCTATGTATATTATTTAACACTGTACATGGTGTTTTAAAATAAAAACGACAAATCTGTTCTCTTAACTGAGCTTTTGGACAACCTCCATGACGACTTGGAAATGCATAAATTGATTTATTTAGGAACGATAGTTTTTTACTGCATTTATCTGGTATTACTACATTATTAGGTCCTTGTTTAGACTTTTATTAATTAATAATGGATTTTTAATGGTTTAATATACGAAATTTCCGTTTATTGTGAGCAAGGAATCACCCCCCAAAGATTAGCATTTGTCCTGAAGCACGTTGTACTCATATGGCTTTCTGATCAGATAAATATTTAGATAAAATTTAAATATTCTTATTTCTAATTCCATCAATCTTGCCTTTTTTTCTTGTCTTCATTTTTATATAGTTCCACAACTTTTATGGAGAGTTCTTTACACGTTGGCGTAAACAGTGTTCCGAAATGATGCGCAAAAATGTTAAGGGCTGATTTTACATGAAAAAATAATGTCTCGTGTCCATATAGCAGTTTTCCGAAATCTTAAAAACAACGGTGGTATATTTTATGATATAACTGATATGAATTTAGGTTTTCGAATATTTTGGTGGCTATTTCTTCGATTGCTTTGCAATTTGGCGTACTTCCTTCAAATATTAATCAGTATGGATTAACAAAATGTGGACTTGGCCCTTTAATCTCCACGCCAGAAAATTGTCATTGGCGTGAATTAAAAACCTATACCATTTTTGTTGTTTTTTAACCAACTAACAATACACGAAACGAAAAACCTGTAGAAATACACAAAATGGTGAATGTGTTCCACTTCTCAAAATTAAGTAATTTTAGGGAAAACCGTAGGTATAATATGTTACAGTTATCCATTTTCACAAAATTGTGACATTTTAAAAAATAGTGTCTTGAAAACAAATTCTGAACCAACACGAAACTTGTGAACTTTCACTTTTATAAACGCTTCTGGATGGTGGACTGATACAGATACCAGTAAAGACCCAAGAGCTTCTCGACAAGCTCTCCACGGACGAACTGCAATTTTAGGTCATTCCATAGCCAGGAATATCTTTCAAAACCGAAAAATTAGGACCTTTTCAGTTTCCTTCTTAGTTAATTAGACAGATTGTAATCAAGTTGGGCGTAAGTTGCAAAACTATTTAAAACCATCACTTAACATACGACGTGCTTAATGCTCTCTTATTTAAATATATTCAGTGAATAAAAAATACGGCGAATACGTCCCATTCACAAACACTCTATTCTCTGTAGTGTGTGTGGATATTGAGAAGCTGCTTAGGTCGAACGCTAAGAATTTACTTAAAAACATACATTTGAAAACTAGATTTTTTCCAGCAAAAATTATTTTTCAAGTTTTCAAATGAGTGTTTTTTAGCTTATTGCATATCTTTCGACCTAAGAAACTTCTCAATATTTCAGTACATAATAGAGAACGTACATATCCAATAAATTGAATATTTAGAGCCAATTTTGAGCGGATTTTGTATCCTTTCAGGAATTCGACGGTCTTAATCTTTAATTGGCGATACCTGCTCAAAAATAAACCCAAACGCCTATTTATGCAATAGAGGAGCTACATGTATATCTAAGTGAAGGATTCCAGTTTAATCATAATAAAATAACTTTATGTATAATTAGTGATTGAGAAATATAGCGGCCGCTGAAAGTATAAAGTTGTTATACTTACAATAGCGTGAAGCTGCTTTCCTTTCCATTTATATTCCGTTAAAACTTTGATAGCTTTATCCCTATCTTCCTCATTGCGAAAGCACACAAATGCGTAAGAGCTGTTTCGTTTAGGAGTTTTGATTTTGTTTGAATTTAGTTTCAATGTATTATTTAAAAGCTTTCGGAATTCCTGCAAAAAATGTTTTTGAATAAATGTGTTACAGACACTGCTATAATGGACCTACACATATACCATAGTACCTTGGCATGTTCTTTATCTCAATTTTAAAATTTTCCGAAGAAAAGTCCCTGCTTAAATATGCATATGGGTCTTCATCTGCCGGGCTGATCTCTCCGACAGTCTCCTGGGTCATCTCACATTTATCATCCATTTCGATGGGATCACTTTTATTCTCAACTTCGGCACTCATAATCAATGAAGATCAATAAAAAATTTAAATAAATAGATATAATTTATAGATGATCTCGTCTGATGAGGGCAAATAAAAACATATTTTTAGGTTATGCCGGCAATTTATAATTTGAATGTGCATGTGTAGATTATAGAGTGAGATGAGCGCGTGCTAGAATTGTAGTAAGGTGCATAGATGAAGACAAGAGACAAATAATCCCCATTACCTCTTTTTTATACTTTAATTTGCCATTCTAGTAGTAATTGAAAATGTAGACAAAAATGTTAATATGAGGCGGTCTTGTTGATTTAAAAATAAAAATGTTTGTTCTGGCCCTTCAAATTCAATCTCTTGAATTTGAATTTGAGACTCCAGCCTCCCAGATGAACTAGTTGTAATGGTTATTGGCACTGTAAATTATGTTAGAAAACTACGAAATTTCTATTCATCATTCATCATTCAAAGTTAAGTGTGTGCAAGAAGATAATTCACTATCATATACCTTCATTGCAAAGTCCTCAAATCCCCGAAGTGACTTCAAATTGTCTGAAATTTTAAATAAACACTACATGACAAAAAAGATTTCATAGTCTTGACCCAATCAGCGTATTTAGAATGCAAGATGGCTAACCGGTATGCACAGCATAGATGAAGACAACTCTGATGCACAGAACATAGAGAAAGTAAAATAAGTTCCCAGTATAATAAGTTAAGAAAGTAAAATAAGTTAAGAAATAAATTCCCAGCTCTGTACTTTCGGCTTTAAATTGAGCCACAATGGCTTATGTGCAGATTTATCCGATAAGCACCTACGATACGGCTGTCCTAACTCGGGACTAGGAAGTCGACCATTAAAGCTGTCCAATAGACAGTCAATATCGTGAATAAATTCTGCAGTATGGATTGCATCAGCTGCCAAGTTATTACAAGGGTTGCTAATGGTTTGCTCCATACATGCAGCAACCGTATGACTTAAGGTTCTCGCCGCGACAGATATCTTAAGCCGATTTTTGCCTCTTAAATCCAGGTATTCTTTTTTTTAATTAAAATTAACATTTATACAATATTTTAAAAGGGCATTTCTTGTTGATTTCAGTAAATGCGGAGGATCAAAAAGAGTAAAAATTTTGTGGTTGTTGATTTTAAAGTATGGATTTGGTTCATAATTTCTGTTTTGGGTTTCGAGGCATAAATTTGAAATCGATTTGCGATTGGTAGCTCCTTGATCACAAACCGTCGCTAGAACGACAAGACCAGCAGCTTCCAAAGCAATTATAATGTCTTTAATAAGGGATTGTAAAGCCTTGGATTCAACAGTACCTCTAGTAAAAAAAACGCTACCGGATGTTTCCAATTTTTATGAAGCCCATGAACCATAAAAATTAAGGCATGATTTGCAGATTTGTTAACCCGACCTAGGTAGCCAAGATCCACATATCCAATAATCATGTTTCTGGACTTATCGAAAGTTAACTGTTCTGACATTTCATCAAACATTAAAATACAATTTCTGTCAATAGGCTTCATTTTTTGGATCTTTTTCGAATGCTTTGACGTAAATTCGGAATTTATTCCTGTTTCAAAGGGCACATTCGACAACAACCTTGATAATGAGCGCTTAGAGGGAAGAGGTAAACACCTTTTTAAAAAATTATAACATTTTGGACCTTTGTCTTTTTTTGTCCAAGTTCTTTTCTTTTTTCCAGAATTTGTAAATGAGCTATTGAAAAAGGAAGAAACCACAGGGTCGATTTTTGTCTCAATTTGGTTAAAAAGAGGAGTTTTTGAGAGTTCATATGCATTTCTCAAATTTTGTTTTGTGACTTTAACTGTTTTTTTAATCTGCTGATTACCTTTCTTTGATTCAAATTTAAGGAATACTTTTTTTTCTTTCGTGGAGAGAGATTTTTCACCCTAGTCTCATTAACTTGAGATAATATATTATTGTCCCTTAATTTTGAATTTTCAATTTCTAACGATTCGTTCAAATCGTCGAAATTGCGTTTTACACCTCGCGAAAATACCTGATGGATTGCAGAAGTTGATGCTGAGGTGCTAGTTTCAACTGAATTGGTATCGTTAGGGTGGCACATTTCAATATTTTGCAAAATGTTAATTTTTGGTTTCTGGAAGGGCAGAGCACCTTTTGATAAACGTAATTTATATGAATCGGTAAAATGTTTATCCTCAAATAAGTGGCGTCGCACCTCAGTATAATTTAATCCCATTATTTCAAACCATTTCCTGCGACGATTAAAATCTTTATTTGGATCAGGGAATTTGAATAACCGCTTATTTACATAGTTTTCAAAATTACCCTTTTTAAAATAGGCATTTTTGCAGGTTACAGCTATACATTTATATGAAAGAACACGATCAGGAGGACTCATCTTTATGCAGATATAAATTATAGACACACAAGAAAAAAATCAACAAACAATTGTAATATTCACACAAAAAATTCTACTATGTTTCGATGCAATACTCACGTCTCGACAGCAATTATTACTTGTAGGTAATACCGTACAGGTATTAGAAATATGAAAATATTTTAACTCGACCGATCAATCGGAAACGTGGTTAAAATTGATTCTTAGCTGTGATTCTTAGGTTAAAGTAACATAGGAAATCAAGTAACATCCAGCCGCGTTGCTCCGCAAGTTGAAAAAGGACAGAACTGATCTAACCTTCCTTTATTTTATTTTCTCTATGTCATGCACGTTTCAACGCGTTGTAATATCAGCGCAACGTAATATCCAGATATTATACTTGAAATGCTAAGTTGACTTCATCTATGGTTGACTTTGCTAAATGAAATTTACTAAATATTATAATTATAATTAATTAATATTATAATACTAAATACAATTTTCGCACGACAAAAATGCACACTTTTTATAATCAAGTCAAGGCATGATCTGAAGCAATAGATAAATAAGTCTGTGGTATCTTTTCCTCTAGTTACCTATATTTTTTAGCCCAACTTATAGTATGAACAACAAACTATGAAACAATCACAAGATCACTAGCAAAATCGAGTCCGTGTTCTACAAGTAGTAAAATGCAATGCAGCGAAATTCTTGTTATACGGCAACTGCTGGTCATACATAAAGACGTGCTGCTGATTACAGTGATGATTAACGACAGCCACATAGCGAGTTTCATTTTTCTTCCCGCCAACAACGCGCCTCTTGCATTTGTTTACTGAACTAATTTTGTGGTCAAAGCTATCCCATTGAGTTGTCATGGGGGTGCCGGTATGACACCGAATGTCAGAAAGTTTCTAAATTGTAAAGACGCGTTTTTTTGCGAAACTTGCAGTTCTGGTCAGGAAAATATCACAAAACGATTTAAATACGTTTCTCTATGAGAAAATCAGTACCTTTCAGTACAAAATCATAAACATCGGGTGATTTTCTTCTTGAGAGCGCACATCGAACACGAACTCTGACGAAGGTTCTTAATTGACGTACAAAACAGACTAATTTGAGATGAAGATTGATGTACGGTTGAAAGAAGCTAACTTCATAAATATGTAAAATAAATATTGCCTCTGTTGTAAAAAGATATATAAAAAACCTTCTCTGTCGGCACTGCCCTATCAACATCAGCGCCTCCAACCTCGAAACCATTTTTCCATGATGGAAAATGCAACCTAACCACATTTTATCTTTAATTTATTTTGGGTAGTTGTGCATCATACCACTTTTTTACTTCTAGGTGTTTTCATTAATTTAATTCAAAAGTGTATTAAGCGATATACTTAATAATGACTAAACGGCGTAGTTTTTCGACGAGTTTTTCCCCAATGAAAATGGAAATTAAAGAGGAAAATGTAGGAAATGATTATTTGATGGCCAAAGGTAGGCTAAAAGGGGCTCTTAAGCAGTTAACAGAAAGGTCTTCGGATGAAGACAGTGATAGCTCTGAAGATGGACAGTCGAAAAGACGAAAAAGGTGAAAACATTGTTCAAACAAGTCCCATATCAAATCATAAGAAACAACATTTGTAGCATTATTAATTTACGTTTGGGTCACATTTGTTGCAAGCTCCCACCTGGGGGCGATTTTTTTGCATTAGGAATCTAGGCAGTGTCTGGTCCAATAAATTTGAAGTAATTGTTCCACTCCACCGTAATTTCTCCAATGCTTTTGACCCTATACTTTTCAATATCGAATGCCTTGACGCTTCTTAAACTTATCGAGCCATCCAGAACTAGCTGAAAAGTCGAAATTTCATCAAAATATTTGGCTTTAATTTGTGGAATTTCCAACGATATAAGAACATTATGACGCTGCTGGAAAAAACAAATTGTTAAACACTTTGTTCACTTTTTACACGCGTTTTATAAATAATAAATATCAAGAAACGTTCAAGTTTGATCATTTTCTCCATTGGCATCTTTTAAAATTTGGGAATAATGAACGTGGATCTTTTGTAATTACTTTAGCTACAAAAAGAAGAGAAGTGAGACTGTTCCTACCCCATACCATCATACCTATGTAATGAAGCTCTATGATCGGAGTGTGGATTTAGCCAGATTCGAAGAAGATACTCCTTTGTATCCTCTCTGTAGAGCATGGATGGAAAATCAACCAAAAAATCCACAAAGAATCATCAAGTAAGTGAGCCAGGTAGCATATTATTTAAGCAAAAATGTTGGTACATTACCTTTGTTCCATTTCCAACTAAGACGGGGCTGTGCATTTTAGGAGACGGAATTCATCTCCAGAACCCACGGATTCGACTTGGGATAGTTCTGGAGTCGACGTGAAGAGACTGCCACCTCCCTCCATACCGTTTGAAACTCGTGTTCCATCTCCACTACCTGAACAGCTTCTTCAAAGCAAGGATAACATCAACCTAAACTATGTAAGCAGTTTTATGCTTATTGTTAATTCATATTTTAATTATTTGATCAATTCAAGGATGAATGCCCTCCAGTGGACAAGAATATTTTGATACGAAATCACCTCCAAAGATGGGTTAAAGTGAAAAAGAAGTGGATTGCAGCTGCTGAAAATAATGAAGAACGATACGCTTATAGTTTCAATATCCTTCAGAATATCTATAACAAGTAAGTTGAACATGTGGTTAAAAATCTGTTATGACCGGGGTGGAAACAAAATAACGTCTGAAAGGTACATAAACAAAGTTACCCGCCAATATATTACAAATAGTTATACCAAATTAACTCCTAAAATCCTAATTAATTATGTAAAAAGGATTAATATAAGATTTAAAATCAAATTAATAGCTACATTACTTAATCATTATTGAAATGTTTTATTTGTGTCCGTATTTAAAAATTGACAACATTCATAATTATTGACGAAATTCAATCTGACGGAAAGTAGGTATATTAGGACACCTCCACTGTCTATATGATAAGCTTCATATTTGCTTAATAACTACCTGTTTTCTTCAGGTGTAAAATTGTTGCAGTTTATCTATCATATATTGTCTGAGGGTGTTTAGAAATCACATCAAAAATAGTAAAATAATGTGTATTTCACTAAAACCTTTTGTTCTCATTAATTTTTCATGATTTTGTTTCTACAACTTCGCCAATCAGCAGTTCAGTTGCTGCCAAACACTTGCTTCACAACTAACGCGCTGGAAATAAACTGGAAAAAAAATGTTTTAAGCCCTTATTTCGAGCTTTCCAATCAAGCCAATATAATTCAATCACCATGTATTCTACTTAATTAATATTTTCGCAATGTTTTCTAGGGCTCAAGATCATATGGAATAATTCGTTCAACGAGGGAAGGAAATATACTTTCTGAGAGTTCATTAATAATTATTTGAAATAAAATATGTTAACAGTAAACAATGTTCTTATCGAAACTAAAACAAGGAATTCACAACACAATTACAAATGCAAATAGTTTGTGTCCTAAATAAAAATTGCCTATAGTTAGTAGTTTGGCTAGCAAGACCACAACTTGGCCCCACAGAGAAGGAATATAATAATAATTATTATTATTATTAAAGTTAATTAAAGATAGATATCACAACAAATTACTAAACCAAGTAGGTACTCTAGAAAAGCACGTAAATAAAACACCAAGACTATAATTATATGTGGGTGACAACTCAAACAGTGCTCATGTTCAAATGAAGTAACACAAATCTATTCATATTTCGCCCATTGTAAGTGTTTAATTTAATATGTTGCTCTAAATAAATGAAAATTGATCCCACCATTCTCAGATGGTAAATTTAAACAGTATTTTGCAATTGTTATACAGCAAAGCAATGAAAATAGAAAGTGCTGTGAGGATTCGATCTTTAAATTTAGTATAAATGTTAAATATAACATTTATAATATTCGAAATCTGAATCGTACAGAAATCAATAAATCTTATTTCGTGGACGGTCTAATTTATACAAATATATTTGTATTGCCACCCAGTGGGTCAATAAATAGATATAAATGCTTCGCACACCTTTACCAAAGGCAATTAATCTGAACACATGACCATATCTCCGTATGTACCGTACGAAAACATTTAGTTATTAAAACAAGGATGCTAAGTTGTTAATTATACTAGTTGAAACTTATTCCTATAGCCATTACATTGTTATTCATGAGTTAGATCACAAATTTAGCCATTTGGAGGATATTCCTTTAGAACTTCATTTTAAATTCCCGCTTAATTTAATGTTAGTAATGTTTATATAATATGGACATTATTTGTAAAGCACCAAACAAAACTCGTTCTATCTTAATAAATTGACTTTGCTTAGAATTACCCGGAGTTTTGTTAGTTGAACAGTACAGGATTATTTTCTCTCTTGTGTAATGGAAGACCGCTACTACTACATACCAAACGATCAAATGTATAATTGATGGTAAGTAATGCAGATTTATTAATTTTACGCAAAAAATACATGTGTAAAGAGCCCAAACAGCGTTTAAAGAAATTGAAATTTAAACGGTGTAAAAATTATTATCTCCCGTTTTACCAGTGATAAAATACTTGAATATTCTTGAGAACGTACTGTATGTTTCAATTTATTAGTATTTACTATTATTTATTCGTATTTTGATATAAAAAACATCAGCTTTTAAGATACCAAATATCAACTCCAGTTGCATGATAACAGGAACTTAAAATTTTTTTGTTTTTCATAAATTTTTCTTGAATATATTCGCAATATTTTAAGGAAGTAAAATTATATCTTTTGTACCTATAAACAATTAGTACATGGGTTCATTCCATTTATAAGTTTTGAAATTTTTTTAAATTCAAAACAACGAAGTCAATTCCATTAAGATGTAACAAGTAAAATGTTTTACCAGTAACGAATAAATTTCCCAGTTGCTTCCATGCTGAGTTTGATCACTCATTTAGTAAAGTATTTTTCTTGCTAACCAATTTTACGAAATTTCACAAGAATGACTGTCAACCAATCAACAAGTGGTGTTAGTTAAGGCTTGTTCAGACGGTGACATCAAATTCCGTGACAGCTTTCACACTAGCTATTCACTCTCAACACATTGTGTCGCGACAGACTCTTGGCAAAATGGCGGAACTTCAGTCTGCAGTAGCGGATTTGTTAAAAGAAGTAATTATTTTGAAATTGAGGCAAAAATTCAAAAAACAAGTATGGATAAGACAGTGGATTATGCGTAGAAACAAACTAGGGGCATCAGAAACTCTACTAAGTGAACGTTTTTGTCTATCTTTATAATCGGCAATTGATTTATCCCATAGTATGATGAGATATTCCAGAAATATAATGAAATCAAAAGGGAACATGATTTAAAACCAAACGAAATGAAAATATCGCGCCAAGGATTGATAACCTTGAAGAAATGTCGCCGAAACATCGACAGCGTCACCATAGAACAAGACTTATATGAGTGTCACGATGTCGCGGTGCCGTATTCGCGAGTTCAAAAGTCCAAACGCCCCTGGTGGCTAAAATTTAAACTACAACTTAAGTAGTAATTTGACACTTGACATTGGTGTTCTGACATCTGATTGTGATTTGTTTTGTTCTAATCAACTTTTGCCCGCTTTTATAATCATCAACTCCAATAAATAAACAAGTCTCAACTGTGACTCGACAACGAGTAATTTGACGATTCGCAGCGCCCCCATCGGTAGTTGAACTTGCGAATATCAAACATTTTTTATATGTGACATTAACGTCCCGACACAGGATGTGACAATCGGATGTTCAGACACTGACATTGTTGTGGAATTCACGTCACGACATTAATGTCACCGTGTGAACGAGCTTTAATAATATATAAAGTGTACCGCTGACTGGTTAGAATATAATAAGAGTTGCTAAATTGTGAAGCCAAATTGAAGAAGCTAAGTAAATTTCACTACTTTTCGGTCAATGATAATTGCAAAGCTTGTTCCAGCATTTTTTCTTCGTCTATCCTGTTCTGCTCCTCTTTTTCTCGCTCTTTTCTGGAAACCATCAGGGCCATTTGAAGATCGTAGTCCAAATCTGAACTGGGACTATTTTGAGCGTCGGATGGGGGTCCTTGGTACTGTTCTAGACTGGCTTCTATTGCTCTACAATAGGAAAGTTCCATATTCGAAAAACATGAGAAAGATACACTAGTTATGACAAAAGTTAGATATTTTTACAGAAGAGTACTTTTGTCGTCTTTAGTCGCTTGAAAACATGCAACTTTCCCACAAATTAAAAATTGTCTAGCTAATTTAATCACTTACAAATGGCAACTAAAAGCTATTCAAAATATTCTTTGAATAATAGCACAGAACAATTAAGGGTTCTTAGCTAATCATGCTAAGTTGGATGAAATAAATCCTTGTAGGCAGAATTGAAGAGTAATTGTCTTGTATATTTTTGTACATCTTATTTGTTTGAGAACATTAGCTTAGGTTGAATAAAATTCATGTAACTGACCTTTGAAGCTCCCTTTCTTCTACGTTGACGGGAGTTTCGGGTCTGGAAGGCTTGTGTCCTCTTAGTGCTTCCCAAATGTCCACCTGAAAATTCCAAGAAAATATCTATAAGATTTCACATTAGCTTTCAATTACCAGCTTATAACGCAGGTTTGACAAAATCAAAAACTATTTAATAATTGCTAGAATCAGGCAGTATATAATGTTAATAAGCTATGACAAATTATAAGCTTTGACGGAAACTAACGGATGGTAAAAAATTCAAACTAAAAAAAATAATACAACGTATCGCAACATGAGCCAGCGATGGAAAATATTAATTTGCTTGACATATCTGCAGATAGATAAGTTTGATATTGTTCCAAAGCAATTAAGTAGGCAGACACATTTTATCAAAATGACCTTTATCTAACCTCTTCCTTCTCAGTGCCCGATTCAACCAAACTCTGTTGAATTGCAAATTGTAAAAGATCATCTTCTTCTTCACTGTTAAATTGTCGTCGCCCATCGCTTGCAGCTAAAATAACACATTAACTCGATTGCAATAGAAACTATTTAAAAAACTAAAATAAATGCGAGTGAATGATTAAAAGCATGAATGCAACTGAAATTTAACTAATCTAACATAATCAAATGTTTGGGATATTCCAAGATTAACAGCATATTTAGTGTAAAAAAACAAATATTTCATGTTTTGAAATTCAGAATTTGCCGAAGGCTTAGACCAGATGATCCAGAAAGAAGTCGAACATTCTATGATTGAAATGCGACGTAGATCTGGCTGGAATCTAAGGCAACAAAATAAAATAAGTGAGTTTTACTACTTTGTCGAAACTTTACTCTCTCCCTGTGCGCGACTGTTTTAATATTTTGCGTAAGGAAAAACCAATTTTCAAAGAAGTAAAACTCAGTTATTTGACTGTATTTTGTCGAAGGCTCCAACCCAACTTGTGCTAGAGGTACAAGGATAATAGATATATTTTTGAATAACGAAACAAGACGAGTAGCCAACTAAAGTGTATCGTTTGCGGATAAATGATTATTCCCAATTTAATTTTTTAGAAATACATAGAACATATGCTAGACACCGGCCCTAAAAATGCCTGCTCGTGCCGAAAGGCAACAGTTATTGGCGTTGCTGATGCACCGAAGTCACAACCCCAAACAAAGTAAAGTAAGCAGGCAAAATCAAAACCCATTAACATCAAATAAAAATGATGATGGTGCACTTTACCATTACCAATCTGGATGTAAGTCGGCGGACACTGGAATAATGTCTCGTCGAGGACACATGTAAGCCGGTCGTCTTCCTCCAGGGTGGAAACTTTGGGGACAGGGCTGTCTAATGCGAAAATATTGCCAAAAGTTATTCTAGCATTTAGCACGTGGAAAAGAGGAATTTCTGGAAGCCAAAGCATGATTATCGGAATTGCTTCATAATAAATCGTTCAAAAAGCTCACCGATTTTAACTGGAAATCCGCTAGGAAGTTGCATCTGAATAAAGTCTTTTAATTTAGCAAAATGAGAACTGGATATGGCCATTAAATCTACGATCGGCAGTATCTGTTCGGGAAGCGATAAAGGATAGTCTTCGCAAAGCCATAAATTAGCCTTAAACTTCTGAACTTTCACATTAACTTCCTTAGGTCGACCTATGTCGCGGTCTCCCAAGTCAACTTGAGGATCGAAGTACTCTTCAGGTAGTATATTGCAAGGGTTTGTGTTATTTGTGTACTCTTCCTATAAACAGACAGCAATAACAATTGGTCTGATAATGAGCGCTTCAATTACACACTTTGGGAATCTCGGAACTACTTTGCGATGATCCCACTTCGGCAATACCCAAAAAGCTCTGCAGTGGAGTTCTGAGGTTTTTACTTCGTGCTTTATCATGTTCAGTCAAATGTTCAGATCTGGTTTTGGTCACTAATTCTACGTTTGAAGCACCAAATACTTTACAGTCATATCCGTTCACTCCTTCATTTTTGTCGGACCGCCAGCCCCAAATGCCCGCTTTGTTCCTAAATTCAAGTTACATTAAACATTTTATTTTCTACCTATTTTGCATACAAAAGTTAAAGGGGAATGCAAAAATTTCACATTTTTTCTTCTGTGATTCGAAAAATTGCGATAATTTAAATTAAATTATTTTATATATTCGTTTGGCATCTTCAACTAACCACTTTTAATTCAACCATGTACTATTTAATTCACTTTCAATACTTCATTTAATTCTATTTTGCAGCTTATACGAGTTGATCAATTTTGATTTGAAATTTGCCCCATATTTAACCACATTCAACTTAATTATTTAATTTTTTGTCTGCTATTTTCTATTTTATTTTCAATCAATAATTTGGACCAAGTATTTTCTCTGTATAAAAATTAGGAATAAAAATAATTGATAAACACAATTATTGCAATAACCTTTAAAGAGTAAATAATAAATGAGCATTGAAAAGTATCCCCCACATGAATTCGAATCGAGAACAAAAAAAGTTTCAATGATTATTGTGAATGTTCTATAAAATTGGATATTAGTCCATAACAAACAAATTTAGAATATATTCAGTTTACATATAGTTTTTGCAATAAATTTATAAAAAATAAAAAAATTTTCTAACTGTTTATTGTTATGGGCCAATTTTCTTACCTTTCGAAACTAATTTTTTCGGTATCTACATAAGTAGTAACTATAGGATTGGTAAGACGATGTGATACGGTCTCTTCGTTTGGCATTAAAACTCCTAAGGTATCATCGCTACTTCGCATCTCTTCACAATAAACTTGTCGTAAATCATGGTCTATTTCCATCACTGTAGCGCTACCATCTAATCAAAGAAAGTTGTAACAGGAATTTTTTACTTTTTAATACTTAAATTATTGTTATATACAGGAGTGGCACTTTTTATCCAATTAATAATTTTTCATAATACTGCTTTCATCTAAAAAATATACATTGAGTCCCAGGAGAGATGTAACAAGAAGGGAAATGCACACAAAATTGTGAATTTTTCAACACACCTTAAGGAATGAGTCCCGCATGTTGTAAAATTAGCACATAAAAACAATTTGTTAATTCCGGGTTACACATTTTCCAAGAGACGGGAAAATTCCACTCAGAAAAGTTATTTAGAATGCAATTTTATACGCTCCAAAATTTGATTAACATAACAGTATTTTTAGGGAAAACATATTATTTAATTTTGACCCACACAATAAAAGGTAGGTTGTTACGCTATGAAAAAACATTGAAACATGTTTAGAAGTTTACAGTTTTCAAACGGTACCTATTCAAACATGTCATGGTTGTTTCACCTCTTGCTACATCTATTCAGGGACAGACTGTTTATTTACCTCATCATTTTTCATCAAATTTTAATTCTGCCGATAAACTATTTTTTATGTAGCATTTGAAATTGACGGTTATTTAGTCCTCATTTCTCGTACTAAGAAATTATAGTTATCTCCATTAAAAATAGCCAATGATTTAGCAAAGTCTTCCTATGTAAATTTTCCATTTTATAGTTCTACTCACTTTGGTCCTGAAATACATAACTTCTATTTCCTCGCTGCCAACTTGTATGATCAAAACCCAAGAGCGTGGTATCTATTCGAACGTTAGAGCCTTGCTTGTACACTTTATAGGTATCGCTGGGGCACATTCGAGACACTAACGGTACTAAAAATCAAACATAACTCATTAAATCACTAAATATTATAGATTAAGCTTGATATTAGTACACTTCCACGTTGCTGAAATGGAATGGAATACCAAAGAAAATAGAATTCAAAAATAACCCACCCCAGCTGGTAAACTCCCATTTCATTTCCACATAAAAATCAGGGGCTTCCTTCAACTTGTGTAGCAGATCAGGGATTCCTGCCATACGACTTGTATATCTAAAAAAACGCATATGAAAATAAATCCGCTAAAAAATCAATCATAATTGACTAAGTTTTCTTCTCCCTACTGCAGATATATGAGTTATTGAATGTAAAGTGATTTCAAAGTTTACGTAGCATCAGTTTTAGTAACAATGTATACGTATATTTTTTAACATAAAATCTTATATTGTGCTGCGTTAAATTGTCAGTGTTTTCTGTATCTTCAAGATATTTATTTAACCAGTTAAAATTTACAAATTCATCTGTAAATTCCTATAGAGGTAATACAATTTTATCTGTGCATAGGCCTGGCTTACTTAGAGTTATCCTACAGCTAACTTATCCTAAGAACTCAATAGAGCTATTTGCAGTAACCCAGTTTCCAGAGCACTTACTTCAAAACAAATTTTTAAGTTATTGAACTTTTTAACATTGGATTATCGACTTCTGGGTAGATTTGCATGCTAGTGATTAGATCTTATCCAATTATTTAATTTAATCTTTACTTTACTTTTAGTACTTATATTGGTAGACATAGTTTTGAGATCTTTTCGCAATGAATTATACTTTCTTAATGCTGCAATATAGCTGCTTTTATTGCTAACAGTCTTAGTTAATTTTGGCATTTGGATATTTTTATTTCTAATTATACTCTCTGAATATTTATATTTGTGTTCCAACTCACCATAGTGATGCAATAAAGAGTTATATATCTACAGACATTTTTTCACTTTATAAAATAACATATATGTGCAGTCGTCGGTTTAATAGTACCTTTGCAGATCACGCCGTTCAAGCACAATGTGCAATAATTCAGGATCTCCAGTTGCAACTGCTTCTTGAACAACTAGAAGATGGTATATATTAGAACTTTTGAACGCTCTAAACGTATCAACTTCAAAGGCTATTCTTTCTATTATGTTTGTTGCATTGTTAAAAATATTGATGAAAACTCTTTCAATTAAAGATGACTAGATATAAGTCGTGCACTCATAGTTATAAAAAAGTTTACACTGGAACATGAATGGTGTTGGAAGAAAAAAGTCGTTCTGTCGAGTAGTTTTTTGACTTTCACTTTTGGTTTCGACTAATAAAGAGTAATACAATGAAAATGAACAATAAGTAGAAACTAGACAATTAACGGTACATAAAGCGACTCTCCTGAAGTATCTGAAGAAGAACAAATAAACCAAATTCTCTTTGTGGATATTGTATTTGACTTTATTTTTCACAGTTCTAAATATTCCTGACTATTCTCGCTTGAAAACGGCAATGAAGAAAAATTTGACAGACTTAGAAAAAAATTCCAAAAACATCTAAATACAGATTTGAGATGAAAAGTCTTTAATTAGTATGTTTGGACTTATGTGGGAACAATAAAAAATTAGATTTTGAGCTTATAGACAAAATAAATCGAATGTAGAGTACGAAATTACTTAACATTACCGAAATAGATATGCACCATCAGAAATATATTGTTAGAAACATAAGGAATATATACATATAACTAAATACTACATGGATTAAATATAAGTACAACAATCTAGATTAATGGTAAATGGCCATAAAATGTAAATGAATACTGATTATAGCAACAAGGAAAAACCCAGAATTTCAGTTATGTATTACTAAACTCGTAAGTGCTAAATTTATCATTTATTTAAGTATTTTATGTTAACATGTCAAAGATATCTGGTGAAAAACGATTTATATTGAATTAAATATCCGTTTATCATCGAAAATGGACAGTTCAGAAATTGACTGCAACTCTGAGTATTCAGTAATTAATCGAACATATTTTTAATTAGACTTAAAAAAAGACGTGTTTTATGTTAGAAGTTTTTTTTTCCGGTGAGGTTTGGGATGTTAGAGGTTACTAAATCAAATACTACATAAAAAATTAAAGCTTAGAGCAATAAAATATGAGGGATTCTATGTAAATGTTCTAAAATATGAGGGAGTCAGAAATTAAAAAGAGTGCTATGCATGTAGAAAATTGTAAATTGTTAAAAAATAATAAATTCAGGGTAAAATGTCTTAATTATTAATGACGATTATTTAGTTTCCTTAATAACCAACTAATTATTAATTTGTAGTACACTCATGAAGGATTGAAACAAGTTTACAAGAATTACTGCCTTGCGGAATGCGGTGGCTGTCTATCGCATTGTTTAATAATTCATTTGCAGGATGAGTCATTCACCAAGTCACCAAACTAAGTAATCGAATGCATAATTCGTATATTTATTGTGGTGATTAATTCCAAACAATTTCGTTTATTGTAATCAGTAAACTTTAACACACAGTAAAAGTAATTGTGATTATTAATTTGAACTGTAGGTGATCCCACCCAGAGATTTATGGAAGACGAAGTTTCTCTCTAATTTTTTATCCCGAAAATTGAACATCTAGTTAATAATTGCACAATAGTTTACTTAGATATTGTACCAGTTTCTTGAAATATAATTAGACTGCCTTACCGTTCCAACCATTCTTGTTTTCGCAATTAACATTTGCTTCATGATTAAGCAGAGACCTAGTGGATTCCAGGTGCCCCAAAGTAACAGCTAACATTAAAGGGGTTCTGCCTCTGTTATCAGCCTTTTCCTTATCGCTCTGTAAACCATTTTAATTGTATTGTGTGGAAAGTAGTAGAAAATATACGTTTCAAGTATTGCTTTTGTAATTTCAGGTACACACCTTATTTTCTTTAAGTGCTTTTTCCAACAGTTTAAACTCATTTTTCCATACGAGCCAATGAAGAGGGTATTCCTTCTTGATAAACTCCTCGCTCACCATTGCTTTTAATTTCCCCCTTTATTTCCTTATACAGAGCACAACGCATCAGATCATACTTTATTTATTGTTATTATTGCAAAAACAGAATTAAGTATGTTTACTAAAAAAGGTCTAACTACACTTGTTAACTGACAGGGGCCATTTGTTTTGATCATTTTGAAGTACTATTGTCAAGTGTCAGATTTTGTATGACGTACGACACTATAAACGTATTAACCACGTATAAAAAGTTGATCTGTGGTATTAACCACGTATAAACTATGGCGTTAGCGGGAAAGTTTTCCAATTAAATGTTTGTTTTTATATATTTAAATTTTCCTATTGCCAACACCGTTCGAATCTTGGCCTCACAAAATCTGGTTTTTTTTAAGTTGACTGCAATGTGAACAACTTTTTAATATTCGGTGGTGTATAAATCAACTACACTTTACATGTTAGACAAGCTCAAAAAAACTCAGAAAAATAATGTTTTTAGAGTGGAACCTTGGATTTTAATATCGGTGCGTTTTTAAGTTGATTATGACCTTATTTTAGTGGCTATTGTATACTTTTTTGTAATTTTACGTATTATAAATCAGTATTTTCAATATCTTTTGCGCTAGCCAGTATATATTTTTTCTGTCAACATAAACTGTTTTTAATTGTCTTATCTTTAAAAAACTTAAGTAAAAATCGTACGTATTTTCTTTCAGAAAGATACGGGCAGGCAGTAAGCTTCTGCTTGATATGGAATATTTCGATTTTAATATTTTTTCTTAAAATATAAATTATCTAGTTTTTTTACTGATATTCACACCAAAACTCCATTAGGTTTATTTTTTCTATAATCATTATTTGAAATAATAAATATTGGTCTATTTACTATTAATTAGAATGTGAAATAGGATGAAAATTTGATCACACAATAAAACACTTAACTATGATCTAATAAATATTTTTAATAACATGGTAAGTTACATATTAATAAATAGCATATAAACATAAAAAAGATGTCAACTATCAGATTCTTTGGTTCTAAACAGATTCACTAAAAATGGGAATGATTTGAAAAAAACACACTTAGATTCTAAACATCGATAATACTTTCATGCTTCCGGTCTTGAGCAGTCCCTTTTAGTTTCTCCTGCATCTGATTGAGAATCTCTTGCATGCGTCGAATCTAGAAAAAAGTTTGTAATAAAATAATTTGCTGTCGCATCAAAAATAGTAATTTTCAAATTTTTTGGATTATTTTTTATTTTAACTACTAATTCGTTTACTGTCGGTTGCTATTCAAGCGGTGACTTTCTTTTAGAAGTTCCTATCGTTAACGCTTCATTAACATTAACTAGAAAGATTTGTTTTTCATTTAACATTATTTAAAGGCATTAACTTGAGCAAACTTTTCGTAACATATTATAGAAGTGAGAAAAGCTTTAAAATTTCGAATACAAACAACAATTAAATAGATATTCACTCTCCATAAGTCGATTTATTACAATCTCAATTTTATTCCGCACAATTCTAATGGAAAAATGGTGTATATTGTGAAGAAAACAATGTCTACAGTGTATGTTTTTAATTAATTTTGATGCTGTGATCACTTGATCATAGGAATAAATTAAATTAAATAAAAACAACTCAATTTTAATGGCAAAAATTACAATTAACGAGATTTTCAATTCAGGGTTTTGGTCAATAATATACTATGGAAACAAATCAAGAATTTGCTAGTAACAGAAAAAAAAAAGTATTTAACTTCTTATACCTATGATCTAAAACTTTCGAACACAAGGCAACAACATTTTTAAATGGATAAATGCACGATTTAAATGAAAATGAACAACTCTCTATATCGAAAATCATTCCCATCTTGCCTCTTTTACATGATCAACTCACTTTGATACCATTAAATTTAAATTAAGAACAATTTAATAATTCTTTTGGCCCATGCAAAAATATTTTTTTTCTTGGACTCTATTTTTTGTTTTATTGTTTATTTATGAAATGAAAAAATGCATAGAAAATAATTAATTGAGAAAACACGTTTTATTGCTACATGACTGTTCATATGTAGAGTATTTTTGATTTATTGAACTTGTAATTAAGTGTTGTTAAAGCAATGCACTGGAACAATCGCTAAAATCCGCTAGTCAATCATGATTCATTAATTGCTAAACTTACTTCTTCGTCTTTCTCAAAAAGAAGACGATCCGTGTCTGAAATATCAGACTCGTAAGGGGCAGAATCCCGCTTCAGTTTTCTAGAAAATGAAAACCTATGTTAACATAAAAAAACTGTTCTTAACTAGATAGATTTAAAAAATATAAAAAACATCCATATATAATAACAAAAAAAAATGATGTAGAAAGAAAGACACCCAGTCCCTACAACATTAAAAACTTGAAATATGTATGTTAAAAAACATTAAAACTTTATTGCAATTACGCACACAACATGCAAAATTTGCAAATGTAAATAGGAAACTTTTTAAGCCTGATCGGTGAGATGAAGAAAGATAAACTTGAAATAAAAAATGTGGAAGGCTTTAATGAATATTTTCGCAAATACAAGTGAAAATTTATTTCAATGGAATGAGTAATATTCACGTATATTGTCAGTGTATATAGACTTAATAACTAATTTTTCCTTCAATTTATATTTTACTTCCATAACATAATTTACCACTCTTACCAATAGTAATGTTAGTTCGTATCTTACCCCCTTTCTCGAGCATGCTGAGATATCTGAGAGATACACTGAGCCCTAAAGTTCTCATAGTGAACATCCTCAGTAACGTCCTTCAGATCTTGCATATGAGTCGAAATAATCATGGTGCGAAGCTTGATAAAATCGCTGTGTTTCGGATTTTCGACTAACAAAACAAAAGTGGTTATTAATTAGGTTTTTCCACGGCAATACAAGGACAAACAAATAGTTTTACCATCAACCACGCCCCATGGGTACTGTCGTCCTCTGATCTTCCTCCCTGCTACTTCCAAGATAGTATTGCTGCCAACTACCGCAAATGGGACACTGGCTTTCAGTTCTCTATCTTGCTGCTTAAACTCTTCATCTTCATCACTATCACATTCCGGAAACTCATATATCTAAGAAAACAATTTTTAAATCAGAAGCATATAGAATAAGCTCATTCGCATTTAGTTCTATACTTGTATATCATGTTCCTTAATATCGTTAAGAATATTCTTCTTGAGCTTATCTACTTCAGAGGCAGTGAGTGTATCTGCTTTGGCAATGACCAAGACTATGTTGACTTTGCGATGCAATCGTTTCAACATTTCCAAGTCCATCTGCCGCAAACTGGAATGATAACTTAATTTGATTATGGTGTAACGTCACAGCGGATTCGTATGCTTAGGCAACAATTTAGTACCATTATTAGTATTTCCTCAATTATTTATAAGTGAAAAGTGCTCAGTACTGAGTAATAATTAGATTGACTGACCTCTTTCTTCTGTAAGGTAATACCTTCGAAATTAATGTGAATACAAAAAAGATAATAAATAATAAAATACCTGTGACCCCATGGAGGGACAAAATATAAACAGCAATGCACTCTATTATCTTGTATATTTCGGCGGTTTAATCCGCTTTCGTCGGTAAAATATTGTCGAAACTGTTCTTCGATGTAGTTAGTGCAGACCTTCCAACTATCCTCACAATTCACTGCGTCTCCAAAGCCTGGGGTATCGATTATTGTAAGCCTAAATGAAAAAAAATGTAAAAAAGGCAAAGGCTATGAAAATATTCTACATATTAATTTTTAATTCTTTAACTATTTAAGTCGTTACCTTACTCTAACTCCTCGCTCTTCGATTTCCATTGTTTTCTTTTCCACTGTAGTAGTTTTATGAATTCTTTCACTGACATCGGGGATTTTCCGATTCTTATACAAATCCTCCAAGAATAAACTGTTAATTAAGGTTGATTTTCCCAATCCCGATTCACCAACCACCATCAAGGTAAATTCGAAACCTCTTTTCACTGATTTTCGATGCACTTGATCGGGCAAAGTGGCAAAACCGATATAGTCCCTACCGGATTCTGGAACAAAAGGGAAATAATTAGCTAAAGTATATAATTTCAATTAATGCACATATCCTAATTTACGGTTTTTGAATAAAGTGGTCCTTGACAAAAGTTGTATGGGAATCATTGATAACGCACTGATTAGTTAGACAATTTGATCTTAATTTTATGGTCACTTTGGAAACATTTTCTTTCCATGCATTTTTTAACTAAATAGTTAATATACATACTATAATAGTCATATTAAACGAAATAATTTCTTATTTGATTATATGCTTTGAATGATGAGAAAAAAATTGACCCAGGCATGTACCTACAGTAGGCCTGGGTAACTCAGTAAATTTTTAGGAGCTGGCGCAGTGCTACGCAAATGGCTTTTTTAGTTGTTTTAAGATTTATTTTAAATGCCATTGATTAATTTTTTTTCTTTCAAAATTGCAGAATTTTCCAGTTTTAGCCAAGTTACTCTTTCTTCTAAATGCTCACTTTTTCAAAGTTCCACTTAAAAATGCTGACAAACTTTCTTTGTCGCTTTCGCAATTTCGAACAAAATTCAAATAATTTTCTATCAAAAAACGCACACAATAAGCGAAAGTTTATAACAGATTATCTGGACATCTCGTCACCTCCATTCCTCTGAACTTTTTCACTCACTTTTCTACTCCATTCTACTCAAAAACGTTCTATTTTATAGAGTTTCACTTAAAAATACTGACGATCTGGAGGTCTTTTACTCGAAAGATTACAAGATTAATTTATAGCTTTGGTAAAATTGTACAAAATCTTTTTTCAGCATCGAATAAATTCGAGACAAAAACGAAAATAAATTCCTCCCGTTTTTTTCCCCGAAAACAATTAACGTTTTTTCCAAAACCGATCACAAAACTAAAAGTTTGTAATCGAAAACGCAAAAAAAACATTTTCTGATGATTTCCTTTTATTCTGAAAATAATGGGGTGAGCCAAAAATGACAAAATTAATTTTGCTGGAAAATTTGCCTCATTCATCGGTTTGCATGGACTAGGAAGCATTTTTTCAGCTTCGAATTTGACACAAAAAACAAATAATTTTCTTCAGTTTTTTACCGAAAGGAATTGATATTATCATGAAAAAACCACCAGAGCAAAAGTTTCCAAAAAATTATTTGGAAAATTCGCTAACGATTTTTAAACTTCCTTTACATTTTCATGTCATTCTGGTTTTCACAAAGTTTCTATTAAGCCAATTCTTTTTACACAAAAATCGCATTATTTTTTCGTTAAAATACTGACACTCTTCAGGTACTTTCTGTGAAAAATTACAAGATAAATTTTATTGGAACACTCGCCTCCTTAACCGCTTTGCAAAAATGTTTGAAAAACTTTTTGCAGCTTCGAATTATGGACAAAACCCTAATAATTATTTATCGGTCTTTTTCCAAAAATTTTTCCCCGAACTTAAAAAGCGAAAGTTTATAATCATTTATTTGGAAAACTCTTGGAAACTGGAGTTTCTTCACTTTTAGATCAATACTTCTAAACAACACTGTCTTTAAACAGAAAAACCGCGTTTTTCCTAACGTTTTACTGTAAAATACTGGCAAACTGAACCTTTTATGCAAAAACAATTTAAGAGATCGATTTTACAAGAAAACTCGTCGACTTTCTTTGGACTCAGTTCTGCTGCTGGCAAAATCTAGATTTAGTTGTTTGAACAAAGTAGTAAACTCAGAAAAAATGTTAATGACCTTTTTTTTTAGATTTGCAAATTCCAGTCTCGGGTCTCGTAAAGCTATAATAAATTATTTATAACTCCGTAACTGATGAATTATAACTCGTTAACTCAGAGAGCGGCAACAACTCAATAACGCAACTCAACACAGTGTTACCCAGGCCTAAAGTACAGCAAAGAACATTTTTGGTAGATAACTTTTTCCAAGTCAAAAATATTCCAAATTCGTTGCGAATTAAAAAAGCTTCATAGCAATAAGGGTGTCTGATTTAAATAAATCATAAACATTGCATAATAGCGAGAAATAAAATGCCAGAAATAACACTCATTGAATTTTTATAGCGAGGCAGGTTTATTTTCGCATTATTCGATTGAAAATGAGTTAAAACAATCTGTTTATAGTACAAATTTGTTATTTACTTTTAACAGTTTAGACCAGTCAAAAAATATTGCTTCAACAATTTGTCATAATACTTAATGCGAAGGAAATTTTAAGCTAGTAGAAGAAACGAACGAAGAAAAAAATATAGACGCGTTTTGGCGCAGCTGAACCGTTCAAATAATGATTGATAAAGTAAAAGTAAAAATAATTGAGATAATATGATGGAATAGCGTTGAAAATAACCTAGTAGATTTATAAATGAGAATACAAAGAAAACCTTAGCTTGATAACATTCAAACTCTAAAAAAGGTCTCTTATTACCTTCCATCCTCCAGAAAATATTTTTACAATTTATTGTACTATAAGCTTTCAAGAAAATCTTACACTGTTGTTATTAGAAGAAAGACCAAAAATACGAAAAATATTCCTAGACACGTATTGTGATGCAACTGAACCGTTAAAATAATAATTGATTAAGTAAAAATAATTGTCATGGTACGATGGAACAGCGATAAAAATCAACTTATGGATTCGCACTCTGGGGTTTGAATGTTTGCATTTTTAGCTGCCAATATTTTCAAAACTATGCCATTAAAAAAATTATCGCCAGATGATTGCCGTTTTCCGCGATAAGCAAATCTGAAATGTTTAAATTTTAAATGGAACTGAGGTATTTCAAAAAGTTTAATTAATATCATAGATTTTGTGATATTTAAGGTCGGTATTTCGTATTTATAACACAAGTATTTCGTATCTAGTACTTATTATAAATACCTAGGTACAGTAGATACATGGAATATAAAATTATTGTTTTTAAGGTTTGAAAATGCTTTTAGAATCGAGAAATTTAAAGTAAATATACAAATCATGTAGCACCATTTTTCTAAAAACTCTACTACGATTTTTTCTGGCATTTGTGTTATCATGATAGGTATTTACGGTATTTGGAACTTACTTTTTGCTAGCAATCGAAGAAAGGCCATCAGGTAGGTACACAATTCACGATAACTATACTCTTTCGCTGCCTAAATAATTAATGAGCAAGTCTTCCACTACAGCACATATTTATTGAAATTTTGTCATCTTTTCTGATTGCCCTTGAAAGCGTTATATTAAATTAACATAAGTCGCGTCTTTCTTAGATATTACCGGGACGGTTTAACTGGAAACGACCGAAACTATTAAAAATAAATTACTTGTAAAAATTCACCTTCTAGAAACTTGCAGCTAGGTATTAAATTCTTGCCTAAATAAAGCAAAACTGCTGCATTTTTATTATATTGAAGTTGTCACATTTTAGTCAAATTGTTTAAATAATTTAGCTTTATTAACTCCATTACTTAATTCTAAGGTCATCCTATATCAATGAATAACGAACTTTTCGACTGGTTTTCCGTCGTTTGTTATTGAAGACGAAAGGCCCATAAACACGTTTCACTACAGAGGTGTTTATGGATCTTGCCGATATCCGTTAAAAGATCGTTACGATGCTGATAAAAATTTAGTAGCTAAATATAAAGCACACATCATTAAGTAATACAATGCACTTGGTATAATCTGCACAATTTCAACGTGTAATCAAAATATATATACCTAGAGAGTAAGATTGAGTTTTGCCAGTAGCTGCATAAAACAACTTTTAAGCAGAATCATTAAAAATACATCAGAAAATAGCAATATGTCTGGTTGATAGATTAGCCTACACAACTACTTCAGATTTGTGGGTATACTTGAAAACATACATATGCTATAAAATGCCACTTAACTTACTTTCCTCGCATAAACTATAAATACCTATGGAGTGTCAGGAAATGCTTTCCGTTATAAGCTTCCTATTAAATATTTTGTAAAAATAAAATCGAGGCCAACATATTTTCCTAAACATTCGAGTTGACGGTCGGGAATAGGTCTACCTATTGAAGTTTATTTTGTAAACTAATACCTACAGGAAGTTCTGCTTGTCTTCCAGAATTGTTTATTTTTCTTACTTTTTATGTTGTTCTACTTACCGGAAAACATTGACCAGAGCATTTTTACCAAATACGGAAACTACAATGTGTGCTTTATGCACTGTTAATAGTAAATTCGACTAAAATTCAGCGATTTTTTGTTCAGAAAATAGGTACTCGGACTCGTGCATGTATTTCAATTTTTGAGTGTTAATTTTTTCATAAAAAATCGACGCTCAAGTTCAAAATTTCAAATTGACACCCATTTACGCTGCATTTTTGTATGACAAGTTTCGAGTATTTTTTATGTTGTTTGATTTTTAAAACAATTCACCCTGTAGGTATTAAGTCTTAAAGGGTCCATTCGTTGCCTAAATAAAACATTGCCATTAATAACTTTTTTATTCTTAGTTATCTAGATAATATATTCATAATTTCTATTTCTATATAAATTAAATAATATTAAAGAGAATCAGTTTATTACAAACTGATTCTCTACTTAACCGAATTCAGTTTCAATTTTCAATTCATTAATAAAACTTACGGTTGTTTCAAAGTTAAGTTATAAAGCATATCTTTGAAATTACTGTAAATTAAGTTGATAATCAAAAACAAAATTTGTGTCAACTTTCGATAAGAATTTATAGTGATTTAGGTGAAATTTTCTATGAACCCAAACCAACCCGAACTTAGGCCCGGTTCCACCATGATTAAATTCTTGGTTAATTAATCACAATAATTTCTTAATCACCACTTTAATCATGATTAAATTGCCATGCGTTTCACAACAAACATTTTAACTCCGGTTGACTCATCATCAGTCTCATCATGATAATCATCAGTCTCATCGGGTAAGATCGTATTTCCTTTGAATCAACGGTTCTGATTGGTTGAAACAGCTGACAGATCAACTGAAATAATTTTCCCCCAAAATAGTATTCACATGTCGCTTGAACATTGATAGAGAATATACTTTTCTATTACGAAATACTTCTGCGTTGTCTCCCCGAAGGATTGTACTTTAATGTGAGTACAATCCAACACTGAAATATAACTTTAAAACGAGCTATTGCATAAAAATGTACTTGTGCTGCACTTATTTCCCTTTTTGTAGATGGGAATTTAATGTAATTTCGAGCTAATGTGGCTATTGCAGCAGTTGCACTAAGCTAGTGCAGATGTGCACTAGCTTAGTTTACTCAAAAAAAGTCTCCAGCGGCAGTAAGATGTGATCTAGTTGCACATAACCTCAACGCAAGTAAAAGTTGTCTCATGGGTTGAATAGCGTTGTGTCTAAAAAATCCATTTAATGAACATGTGGCAATTTCACTATTATTAATTTATCATAACTTTCTGTAGTATGTTGCAGGTCTATTTCTATTTCCAGCAGCAACGTTTGAACAGTGTTTTCCAATAAGCGAAATTGCATAAAAAAGCTCAAGGTGTCCATGATTTCAAAATAATTGACTCGCGGTTTAAATATTCGGGGTCTTCTAACAACCGGAATGTAATTCTCCTAATCAGGCGATGATGAAACATCGTCATACACAAAATCCAACATGTGTTTACTTTGAAAAAATGTTTGAGGTTATAATACCACATACACACCAGCCATTTTGGGCGGTTAACCACTGATTAAGTGTCCATAATCGTGGTTAAAGTTATGGTGGAACGCAAAATGTTCATTAAATAGTTTTAATCAATGATTAACATTTTAATCGGAGATGGTGGAACCGGGCCTTAGACGGCTTTCGCGTTGCCACAGTAGGTATATAAATAAAATAGTTAAATTGCTCAATATTGTTTTGGAATTTATTTATTAAAGCGTATCAATTAGTATAAAGCAACAATTTGTGTACCTCCTCATATTATTTTATATGAGAAACAAATTATCTTTGCAACGCATTTATCAGAAATATTCCTGATAACATACCGAATTCAAAGCTGTCTCAGAATGTCAGACATATTTTTGTAGACAATACCATTATCCTTAGAGATGCCTTTGATATAATCAGAGGAAAAAGTCCAAGTGGATTAAATCAGAAGATTTGGCCGGCTATTTGTTTGAATCACCCAAATAATAGCCGAAATCAATGGATTGGCCGACTGAATGAATTACATATCTCGTTTTTATTTCAAGAAATATTTTTTAATGTTATATATAATATGTTTTTAAACACCTTCCTGCTGGCACAATTTAACAAGTTTTGCCACGCGTTTCAACACGTTTCCCGAACAGTTAAGCTGTTTTTGTTATATTCGTCTCATACCGATTTGAAAGAGATTTTAAATTATGTACGAAATTTTATGCAAATGTAAATGTAGCTTAAAACGTAAAGAATTCTCAATTGACTTTGGTTTACGAAAGTACAACACATTTTTATCGTTAAAACTCAGTTTAAAGCTACATAAATCATACGTGTGTAAATGTAGCAAACCGCAAATTTTATAATAATACAATTTAAATGTTGCCTATTTGTTTTTCTGAAAGTTGATTAAACGAGTTAGTTAGAGTTTTTTGTAGAAAACCTAACTGAATAAAGGGATTTTAATTTTATTTACTTTTATATTATTTTTGTCTTCGTTTCTCCAATCGAAATAAAATTGATATACCCAGTAAACGATAGATTATACGAAGAACAGCGATGCAAAATTGGTACAAAGATGGAAAAATGGTGAATCTAACTGAAAGTGAATACGGAATATCAAATATGTATGACTCCAAGATGAAAACAAACAACAATTGTTTTGATACTTCAAATGATGTATGACAGACAGTATTTAAATAAATCTCTATATAAAGGAAGGACAAAAGTGTATGGGTTAATTCAATACAGAAAATCCGTCGGAAGAAAACAAACTAAAAAAAATGTATTTTGAAAGCAAAAACTACTCGGTTTAAGTACAAACACTTACACAACAAACACACTAAGATTATTAACAAATTAGAAAACACGTCGCTATTATTTCAAAGAGTTAATAAATTAATAGAAACCCGAATATAAAACATACGAAAATAAGGGTAAATTATTTACATCGCGATCTGATACCAGGACTGCCACTTTGCCGATTATGGCAAGACTATGGTCACTTTATAGAAAATCTCAATATAGAACATTTGTCCTAAAGATTTTTCAACAAAATGCCGTTTTTCACCACTTTTCACCCTCGTAAATTAATCAATTATTCAACCTTGAATGAATAACTTTTTTGATTTGACATCACATTTTCCTCAATCTTTTCCCATAACTGCTTTAAAGAGCGATAAAACCCATAATCAATGTGCCTACCTATTGAACCTTCGGTAGTAGTAGAAATTTCTCCTAATGTAAACAGAGTAGACAGGCGGCTTTCCAAATCGCTACGAATACTCCTCTTACTACTAGAGATTTTTTTTCCAAAAAGATATTCTTCCATCACTTTACGAAACACCTATTTACAGTCACAAGTACTTCTGCCCTCTCACTTTAGATTTCTCTAGATAAAAAATTACAGAACTTAAGAAACATTAAAATTGTCGCACACCCAAGGCCGCGGGCCCAAAATCTTCAATAATACTGATAAATATAACTGAGCCTCCCACGAAAATTTTTACCAAGATAAGAATTCAGCAGCCAAAGATTATCCAAGGATCAAACAAAGTGATTCGTGTTGCTACCGTCCTCAATATTGTTATCAACAAATTTACAGCTGCGCAATCACATGCGATCTTAACAAGAATGAAATGGCCTCTGCAATTTGAACCGACCTATTATTAGGTTTATTACAATAATAAAATAGAGTACATGTAATTATTATGTCGACTATGTGGTAGGAGTTAATAATGTGTTTTCATGCCTCTATCTATAAGGCTTATTGCAAATAGTACGCAGGTTTACGTGTTACAGTATGTATTATATGAATAAATAGATGGGCGAATGTTGAGAGTATATCGATGTTAGTGTAAATAATCCATTTTAGTTGGTTCTAGGTATATACAGATGAATTACAAGACAACAATAATTTACATTAATCGGTAGGAAAAAACTGCCTGTTGCAGTTGCCTGTCTTGAGAAAATTGCATTATTTTAAAAGCCAACAGTTATTCCGAAAAGATTCGCTTTTTACAGAATTACACGAGCATTCGTCGAGGTATCAGAGATACACGTATATGAATTCCATAAGAAGTCACTATTATTATTTTCACTTTTCCTATTCCCAGAAGGTTTCTGAAATATCGGGGCTTCAGTACATAGTTACTAACTAAAGGCAAAGGACTAAAGGCGACTAACGATAAAAAGATACTCGAATTTCTTCAGTCATATTGTTATGACTGAAACAAATTTTCAATTATCTATCCAACGATGCCAAAACGAATTCTGTGGCTCAAATGGGGCTTGAGAAAATTCTAAAAAAGCAGCGCCATGTTTCTGAGTCGATTTTGCAACTCAAACAAAAAACACGCAAATCTAAAACTTCTTGCAATCAAGACTTTTTTGAGAAAACTGCCAACTATTTCTTATCGATGGTTCACTTTCTAAAAAGGCCATTTAGTTCTCTCTGGTATGATGTAAAGATTTTGCTAATTTTGCTTTTGAGAAATGAGCAAAAACGAGACGAAAAACATGAAATTTTGGCATAATCTTGCATCTAAGTGTATGATATTCAAATTCCGCTTTCTGGGTCAACACTACTCGAATTTCCTCACTCATGTTGTTATGACATGTGCTGGGTTTATGTCCACTAACAATAGATTTTTTTATTTCATATACAACAAAAGACTGAATGTTCTACTACATGACCCCCCCCCCTGACTTGAAAGTTGGACCGCCTAACTCACGCTGCTCACTAAAAGGTGAGTTATATTTCTGCATCCAAAGAACTTCGCAATTTAAAACTTGTTACCGACTTGTGAAAGAGTTCTTGAACTCGTTGAAACAAATCCTAATTTTTTGCACTTATTGGACAAAGTAAGACGTCCCTTTCCCGGGGACAAACCCCGAATGCGACCACGCTTTAACTCTACTACTGGAGGACATTCCTCTTCAAATCAAAAGGAAGATGTTCTTTTAACATGATTTTGATATATATATTGACGGTTGGCCACCGCGATATCCAGACCTCAACTTATTAGACTTTTTAGGTCAGAACATGCCAAAACACTTACTTATTAATTGGTAAAAGACGTTTCGTTTTTGATTGAGAAAATGTGATCAGTATGTGTACTCAGTGATTCAGTGTATCAGTAATTCTTGAAACTCATGTTTATGAATACATATTTATAATCTTACCAGCATTTACTTTGACTTTCATTAATTAATTTGAAACTATATATTCAAATGGAAATTTGAAACAAAGTAAAGCAAAGTATTAATAATCCAAGAATTTCATCACAGTCATTATTATATAATTAACCAGGAATCTCTTGAGCCAAAAATCACACAGTACATGAATAAGACAATGCACTAGAAGCAAAAAACCTTGTTCTACTTGGTTGATTATGCGATTACTGAAGAACTGAAGACCGTAGAAAAGTACAATGAAACGAACGACCTGACCCCAAATGAGAAAAATTATAGGAATAAGAATTTAAAACGTACCATTTCCTCTAGTAGAAAGATTTTCGAGGCGATAAAAGAGTTCTATATACCGCATTGGAATATTAAGTTACTACGTGCGGTTATGTTGGTTAGTCTGTCGTCAAAATAATTGAATGGAGAAACAGAAACGTGAAACCACTAGTATGGAATATCATATTGATTTTTTAAATAGATTTAAGTAAATGTAGGTTAATTAAAAGTAGACTTTGAGGGAAGTCTTACGCCTGGTCGCAGGCTTTAAATGGAATTTTAAACTTTTTATGCTAACTTTCCCTTGCTATAAGTTAGTTAGGTATACAAAATACATTTTATTTTATATGGCAGCATAAATTTCAATAATACCTATCGATATTTAAAATTTTCATTTTTGTTCGACTTTAATTTTGACTCGACCTTTAGCTTCAAATCAACTCGTTACAGTCAAATTTAATTTAATTTTCAAAATTTTTCCATAATAGCAAAATACTACTACTAAGTAATAAAAATAATATAAATAAGAATAATGTATGATAATATTCCAATATTTCAAACAAGTTCTAGGAAGGACTTGTTGGAGCAAAATGCCGAGATTTTTTGAATTGCATTATCGCTTTTTTACTGATTTCTTCAAGGTTTGGTCTTTGGTCATGTGTATTTAGAAGATTCTAAAATATGTTTGATTATACTATGTTTTGAATATATAAAAATGTTCACTGTATAAGTACTGTCTTTTGGCTTGGAGAATTTACAGGGTGTTTGGTAAGCCGATACATTTTTGCTAGAGGATATAGTGCGAGTAATTTTGGATATATTTCTTTAACAAATCAAATTTTAAAAGAGCTTAGTTTGCGATCGACAGTGTTGAAAGTGATGTTAAAAAACTCAGGTTTACTAAGGCCCGGTTCCACCATCTCTGATTAAAATGTCAATCATTGATTAAAACTATTTAATCAACACTTTGCGTTCCAGCATAATTTTATCCACTATTCTGGACACTTAATCAGTGGTTAACTTATCCGCCTAAAATGGCTGGTTATTGACGATAATCACGATTAGTGTAGTTATTATAATACATTCACATACAATAGAATATTTCTCTATCAATGTTCAAGCGACATGTGATTACTATTTCGGGACAAAATTATTTCAGCTGATCTGTCCCTTGTTTGAACCAATCAGAACCGTTGATTCAAAAGAAATACGATCTTACCCGATGAGACTGTAACGATGAGAGAGTAACCGGGCCTAATATTAGTATTACTCATACTAGTTAATATTACAGCTTGGAATAATTTAATGAAATTTTACAGACTTCGAAAGCTGACATGTTTTGTAATAAAAACATGATGTTCAGTTGTACTAGATTTTCAGTTTAAATTTAAAAAATAGGGCAATATTGGTTTTTCTTAAAATATATTTTTTTAAATTTCCTGTTCAGTTTGCAAGAGAAAAATTATTGACTTTGTACGGCGCAGTGTAGAAATTATAAATCGATTTCTTTAATTTGATTGTATTTCTATAGTAGAGTTAGTAGTTTTTGTATGTTATTATAAAATACTTTTAGTATTCAGGGTGTGCCGTAAGCTCATGATCAAAAGGGTACTGCGATATTCTTTGGACCAAAAGACGATCTGACCTAACTTTTATTAACAAAAAATGTCTGGCTCATCCGCTATTGATGGTCAAAGTTCTTCAAAAAAGTTATCTTTTTTTAAATATCGGGAGAATGGTACGATGTATTTTAGTGAAACTCGCTGTGAATTTGTTCTTCAACAATTATTATCATTCAATAATGTCTAACATTGTTAAGGGCAATGAACCAGAAATTTTGTTTTTCGAAAAAACTATGTATGCTACAAGATTTTACAAAGAGCACAAAATTGTGAATAAATGATTAGTGCATCAACCTAAAAAAAAATGAGTTGATTTCATCCTCCAACTAAAAAGTTCTGGTAGTTTTTGTACCACGACACTCAAGAATTCACGGCTGAACTCGATTGTTTTATCAAAATATGAGTCTTACATAAGAACAAATTCAAAGCGATACAATATATTTCAAAAAAGATGAATTTTTTGAAGAACTTTGACCATCAATAGCAGAGGAGCCAGATATTTTTTGTTAATAAAAGAGGTCAGATCGTCTTCTTTTGGTCCAAAGAGGCAGTACCCTTTTGATCATGAGCTTACGGGACACCTTGTATAATACTACTATTACTTTACCTGTTATTTGAAATAATTTTCATTAAGCATAAACATAGAACAATTGCTTCGACCAACCACCAACCTGTATAATTTGTGTCGAGTTAATCGTTCTAAAAAAATGCTGTTTCTATTTTTACAATTTTCATGTTATACTTAATCTTAAGCAAATATTTCGATCGATACGCTTTTAATTTACAGATTCTCTTATCTGGATATATTAGCTTTCTACTTTACATTGCCAAAATTGTAGTAATTAGTAAAATTAATCATAAAAGAGTTGTTCTATATGGCTGTACCAACAAAAAATTATTGCATGTTAGTGTTTAAGCTATGCAGCACTTTTTAAGAAGAATAAATACCTACATATTTTTTGAATTAATAATATAATTTTTATATGGCTACCACTAAAGCAGACATACTGTATACAGAGTGTTTAAAAAATAATTAAATATAAAGATTACCCCAGGTAGGTAGCACTTTTTATTGATTTCTTTCTATAAAACTCATAATAAAATATATTTGTAACGGCTACAACTTAAGTAGACATAAGATATACAAGGTGTTTCAAAAATGATTGCATTATATTTAAGACTATGCAGAACTTTTTATAAGGAAATAATTAATTTTTCTGCTTAATAAAAATTGCTTCTTAACATTTTTGTTATAAAATAGGATGGAATCACTGTGAAAAACAAGAGTCCAGTAAAGGCGCTTCCCATTGCAATTACTAATGTAAATATTTCTAATCAATATGCTGATTACTCACCAGACATTGTCGTTGCTCAGGCTACTACAGTCGACAATTGCTCTATTTAAAATCAGCTTTCTGTCATCCCCCGTGTGCAGGTTTACATTTAGAATTAAAACCCCCCAGTTTGTACCCAAAATCCACCACTAAACCCATTTACACACATTGAAATTTCATGTCTTTTCCTTTAGTGAATCGAATTGATCGCACTGTAATCGTCTAGTTTTTCGCTACAAAATTCATTGGGTATCTATCTACCAAGTATGGTTTTGTACCGAATAGTCGTCCACAATCACTGACAGAAAACGCGGAAGGGAATGGCATGGAAATGGAACAAAAGACCATCTGAACTCGAACATGGGTTGCGCGAATAGTACGATCAATACGCTGCCGTTGCGAGATTGTTTTGTTAGCATGGGCGCGTGAAATTTTGAATTTTTGGGGGAAGGCATGCGCCACTCTTGGACGTATTTAGTATATTTTTACAGGGTGTAAAAAGGAGTTAAAAACCTAAATTCGATTCATATATGTGTAAAAGAAAACTACCAGTTGAAGAGACGATTTAAATGTTGTTAGCTTTTTTTCAAGATTCGATTGTGCTATAAACAAATTAGTTGCATCATTTCGTTTAAAAGTATTTACACGTTTTCTTTCAGCTTTAAAAGAGTTGGGTGTTATAAATATAAATATTTTTATAAAATTATGGTGGAAGCCAACAGAGATCAAATAAGATCTTAATTAGATCAAGTGGATTTACCTAAGTGATAATACATATACATATATGTACGTTGGTATCTACTTAATAATAACTACCCAAAAAATGTTTCTAAACCAATAATAAAGCGAAGAACAAGATTTGCAACTCAACTAAATACAACAATAATGAGGAACACAGAAACAATTTTTAAAAAGTATTATTTTATGAATTGTCCGACGCCTACCGAGCGCACATTTTAAAAATATTTTTGTGATGTACAGGGTGTCCCAAAAGCTCTAAAGGTATCAAAGTTGCGGTTTTTTAAATGGAGTGTCCTGTATATTATTGCAATTTTAGATTCGCTGAACAAAATAAGTGTCTGTTTTAATTAGGTTTATAATACCTAAATCTTAAAGTTTTTTTAAATAATACGACATTAATCAAAATCTAACCTAATTTTCACGTATCAAATACTTTAGAAGCATTTGATACGTGTATGTAAGCGTAATTTATAGTGGAGTGTAACAAGATATACTATTTTATATCCCAATGATAATAAACTTATCATGTTATACAGGGTGTCCACAAATTTAAACTAATCAAATAAGAACTTTAAG